GGCACGTATTTCTAAGGAAAGTGCAATCCGCTGAAAGGAAGGCTATAAAAAGTTATCGCGTTATAAATGCGGGCGCAAGTTTTGCATGCAGAACAACTTGAAGTATCGATAATACCGGAAAAGTCACGTAGCATATTTCGTCTCTGCGTGACAGAAACGAAAAAGAAAAAAAAACAAATAAAAACCCCGAAACGCCTGGATTTGAAACAACCTGCGTGGCCTGTGAAGGTCATTTAACAGTTAGGTCGTTCACTGTGGTAAGATTTTTTTTTTGTTTGCAGGCCGAGAAATTCAGCACTGAATTGAAACCTCATGTCACAGATTCGCTTTCATATTGTGGCAAAACAGTGAAAAAAAAAAGAAAACAAACAGGACAGTGAACACACAGGATGCAGCGGTATACGCTCTGTGTACTGATTTTCCGCCCTGTCCTGCCACAATTACTTCATAAACCAAGTCCACCGAAGCATCCTTGAGCGTTTTCGTAATGTTTTCGGAGTTCGCGATCAGAATTCAATTAAGGGCCTCTCGTTAAGCGACTTGAAATATAGACGAGGAAGAAAAAAAATAGTCGTTTTAAATCCGTCCCTAAAAGCAGCCAAAACACACCAACGTCGCAATAAACGTCATGCCTTGCGACCTTGAAGTTTGCATGTCTGCGTAAACAACATCTGGCTATCAAATTAATATGTGGATTTATAAGTATACCAACGTAACTTTGCGTTGCGTTTTCGAATCCATTTTTTTTCTCTTCCGTTTTAGCTCCTTTCAAACTCGGTGTAGCGTTGCCGCGCTGATGCTGATGCTGATGACCTCTGATGGATGGCGCTTACCCACAAAGGGGGATGGGCCAAGAACCGGGCGGCAGGATACTTAAATGAAACTAAACTGAAAATGAAGCCAATCTGAAAAAGTAGCTTAAAATAATACTACCAAAAAACAAAAATGTGTGCTGAGCAAGCAGTCAAACCATCTTTTGTTTTTGAAAGACATAACTACGAATTATAAACTAAAGATCTGAAAAGGTAGTGGTTCACTAGCATGGTAATCTTTTAGTTGCGTTGATGTAATCAAACACAGCGGAGCATACATCCCTGTGGCAGTAACCTAATGAAGTTCCGCCAAGTGATAAAATTACTGGTAAATTTACTTGTATTCCTAGCTTTTGTAATGGGGCTACTAAAAATCTTTTTCTCTGATAAGAATAACGATAAAGAATTGAATAACGATAAAGAATTGTTTCAATTTCGTTGCACCAAATGCATAGCGGTGACGCATTGAGCTGAGCTTTATTAAGGTAATAATTTAGTTGTGGAACTGCACAGCGCAATCGGGTATAAGTGACCTGCCGCGCTGAGAGCGTTTCATTCCATCGTCAAATATGTCGACATATCGCGAGTGTATTGACATTGCGCCAGCGGATCTGGCTGGAATGATAGGTATGACTTTCCTGCGCGTCATGCGCCTCACTTGTGATGGAGAGCTTCATATATAGTTCGCGTTTACAGTGTAACGAAACGGAATCGTTCTGTACGCGTACTCTGTACTTGCGTCTTCGTTTTTTTTTTTTTTGCTTTAACGCAAGAATCTTCTCTTGGCGTTGCTGTACTTGCGTCTTCGTTTTTTTTTTTTGCTTTAACGCAAGAATCTTCTCTTGGCGTTGCGGAGCGATGGTTTCTGTATAGGTCTGCCAAGTCGGGCGCTTGCGTAGTGAGCTTTCGAATGACAAGAAAATAAAAATTTAAAAAGGAAAAGAAAGAAGAAAAGGAGCGTGTAGAGGAAGAAGAGGTTTTGAAAAGAGAGGTGAACGCATCGTTTCTCCACTCTTCTACGAATCATTTCAAGGTCGAGGACGCGTATTTGGCATGACTCGGACGAACGTTCGGGCAAAAAAAAAACAAAAACAAAAAAAAACCGCAAGCTTCGCCCGGTAATGCGTTTGTTCACCTCTATTTCCTTTCCTTTTTTTTATTTTCAGCCGCCTGTTTTTGTTATTTTGCGACTTCCTATGCACTCGAGCTGACTCTGACGTTACTGCAGTGTTTTTTTTTTCTTTCTTTCTCTGCCTCTTTTGTGCGTGTTTATTTGCCCGAAAGGGCTGAAAAAAAAATGAAGGTAAAGAGGGAAAACAAATGAAATAAAAAGAGGCGGGCAGACGGGGTTACACTAGCCGTGGCTCAAATAAACGTTTTCGCGGCAGGCAAGAGGAAACCCATGGATGCACTAGAATAAAGGTAAAGAGGGAAAAAACGAAATAAAAAGAGGCGGACAGACAGGGTTACACTATCCGTGGCTCAAATAAACGTTTTCGCGGCAAGCAAGAGGAAACCCATGGATGCAGAGCGTTAAAAAAAAATGAAAGAAAGCAGTCAGAAGAACGGAACCAAATGAAGAATTACTGAAAGAAAAATAAATCAGAGACTGGAGTAAATAATCAAAGAAATTAAAAAAGGAGTTCTAGAAAAGCAGCGAGGAAAGAAGTAATCGGAGAAAGCTCGAAGACAATTTTCTTCGCAGCACGCACGCTCCGCCGCACCATTATTAGTGCGATACAGCGCATACTAGAACCCCTTTTCCTCTCTCCCTAGTAGACGATTATATAGCTCCGCTCGCGGTCTCTCAGCACGTGGAAGGGTAGCAGCGCTCTAACCACCATGCATTCAACCGCTACTCAAGTTTCCGGAGGTCTCGTTGGGCAGCCTAGCTGATGGGAAGGTGTAGAGTAAACTATATGGTCCCCAGGGATCGTACATATACAGTTACTCTACAGAGAAGAGTAAACACACACACACGCCAGTGAGTGTAGAGTGTCGACCTTCTTTTATGTGGTAGTGGTTGTAAGGAAGAGGAAAAATGCACCTAATTTATGTCTGCCTATAGGCGACACGGCGCAGTGCCTTATAGGGGTTGGGGTAAGGAGGGATAAATAGAATAGAAGGAAATAGATCAAGAAATAGAGAGGCAAGCGACGGAAAATAGAAGGAGATAGGAAAGTGTGGATCCGGTCGAAGCAGTCCAAGGGCGGGGCACCACAATGCGAGAGCTGCACGGCGTCAGGAGACCGCGGAGGGCGGGCGAACCAGTCGGCGGGAGCTACGCTGGCGTCGGAGATCGCGAGGGCACGACCGTCCAGCTTGAAATCCTGCGAGCGATTCCTTTTATGTGCGTACCTGTGCGCATATACATTCAAAAGACTCTGGAAACGAACGCTTCTGCAACAAACTTGCCAGTGTGATGAATGATTTCTTACATGTTCCCGGCTATATTAAAACATCAAAAAGAGAGAGAGAGAGATGTTTAATTAAGAACAGAGAATTCTGGAAGCGCATATAAGGCCGCCTACAGGCTACTGTGAAAGGAGGGTGACTGAGGAAAGAAAGGTCCTTAGGAGCAGGGGGGAAGAAAATAGTAAGGAAATATTATTATTGCGGTATGTGCATGTCACAACGTAATGATTGCGACGTCACTCAGGTTATCAGTGAAGTTAACGCCCACGAGAAACGCGAATTAGGCCTGTATTCACAAACCAACCTCGGCCTTACCTCACGTTTTCCTCAACTTCCTCTTTACATGCGTTATAAAGGCGCTAAAATGGTAACAGTGCGAAAGATAAGGACAAGACTGGTTTATGAATACTGGTTCAATTTGTTTATTATGCGCAATAAACGTTTAAAACCGATAAGGATAACTCGAGAAAAGGTTGAGGTCGGTTTGTGAATAAGGGCCTTAATAGGCTCACTTTGCTGAGAAGATGTGGCTCCAAGTATTTTCCCGACACTATTGGTGCCCGGAAATTTGAGCTTATTCTGCTTCAGAGAAGGTTCTTTCTTCTGTGTACATGCCGGACAATTTAACAAATTATGTTTCTTTTCTTTTTTTCAATGCACCACAGTTGTCACAGTAGCCGTCAGTGTTCGAACCAAGACGGTACGTGCTACCCTTGCAAGCGAATTGCACTGCATAACGAAATCCAAAATCTATATGGAAGCCGACATGTGGAAACACGTAGTGGGATAGTCAGGTTGAACAGTAGAAGTTCCTCGGACAGGCTGGCCGACGTTTTGATAGGAGAACCTATCTTCGTCAAAGGCAACTCGTCATCCTTGGCGTGTTAGTTTTAACACGGTTAATGATGACTGGCAGACGTTTCGATAGGAGGACCTATCTTCGTCAAAGACACCTTGTCATCCTTGTCATGTTAGTTTTAAGAGGGTTAATAATGACTGGCCGACGTTTCGATAGGAGGACATATCTTCGTCAAAGGCACACTTTCATCTTTGGCGTGTGAGTTTTAAGAGGGTTAATAGTGACGTCATTATTAAACCCCTTAAAACGAACACGCCAAGGATGACAAGGTGCCTTTGACGAAGATAGGTCCTATCGAAACCCCGGCCAGCCTGTCTGAGGCACTTCTACTGTTCAACCTGACTGTACCACTGCATAACGAAATATTTTGTGGGCCTCGAGCACTATGTTATGAAGGCGTTTGACGGTATACATGCATACTGAATTTAAAAATAAATCAGGGTGGGGGGGGGGGCGCTCACTCCCTCACGATTACGCCACTGGTTGGACGATGCTTCACGACCCTATTGCGCGTACCGAGCCGCGGGAAGTTCAAGATGAGCGGCGAATACGCGTTCACTTAACAGAGACCACTCTAAATGCAGTATGCGCTTGCTACCATTCGCCTCCTTTCCCCGACCGTAGTACGCAGACAAGAAATGTAAATGAAACCAGAAACAGGAAGGGGAGAACGCAAACACGACCGAGGGAAGTCGGGGGGGGGGTGAGGAGGGGGGTCGTCCTAAGTATGCTGCTCCAGATACGCGTACAGCTGTCCCACCATCCGAAGACCACTTCTAACCCCCCCCCCCCCCCCCCCTCCATCCGTTGGTTTCACCGCCGGCAATCTCATCTCTTCACACCCTCTCAAAGTCTCCTTCTCTTTAGCTTTCTTCGTGCGCCGCACAGCACAGCCTCTACCGAGTGCGTCCGCGTCTCTGCGTCTAGAGGTCGTATCAATGATTAGCCGGCCAGACTGGACGTCTCCCTTGCCCCGAGGATGCCGCGCGCGCGCAGTCGACTAATACGGCTCCTCTGAAGACGTGACTCCGATAACGGAACGGCAAAGGAACAACTCCGGTCGCGTTAAGGCGGTAACGACAACTGTGTTCTCAGCGCCTGCGCGTAAGTTGTGCCCGTACGCTTTAGTTTGCGGAGGTACGAATTCCTCGTCGAAGAGACGAGTTGCAGCTGCTCGCGTTTGCTCCTCTCGCAAGGGACACCTGCAGCCAACTGCGTCGGCAACAGCGACGGAGAGATGATGATCGCCCGCGCGCGCTGAGTTGGGGAATCGACGGAACGTAGCTGCTGTTACGCCAAACAGGTGTCCACGTCGAAGAACTACTGCTATAACGTACGTAAAAAAAGTGACGCGCCACCTGTGCGATCTCATCACTCGATACATCGCACCAGTTTCGTCTAGTCGTACCGGAGTCATCAACGTGTATGTGCGTTCGTGAATACGCCTGCCCTGCATACCACTGCATTCTCTGTGCCATAGGAGGTGGATTGTTTCTCCCTTCTATACATTGTCGGAGACCTATTCATTAACCTGAACCGCGGGTCAGATGTGGTATGCATTGTGTTATCTATAACGCGCCATTGTGACTATATGAGTCGTGTTCTACTATTCGCATTCGCTTGGTCCTTCGGCACACTTTACGTGCTGTAAGCCGGTCATATACCTGGACGATAGCGGTAATTTGAGCTGCTCGCGTGACCGACATCTACGAAGCATCTCGACGGAAAGTTCATCTATCTTTACCACCGGCACGGATAAGGCTACGGACATTACGCCGTTTCTGTTCTTATCCGGCCACAACTGCGAGTCTTCAAACCCTTTGAGCACCGCAGCCTTTTTTATCAGCAAGCTGTTTGAGCTACGAAAGGGCGCCATCCTATATGAAACCTGCGCGTTATCAATCGCTGCGTGTCTCTATCTACGGTGGATCCAAAGACTGGAAGGAAGCACACGCATCCACTCCGGCATATGCATCAACAATATGTTTCAGCACTGAGCGTTGCTGCTGACTTGTGAAAGGGTCACTGGACTGGGTTATTTGCCGCAAGTTTTTATGAGTGTAACATATTACACCGGTTTCAGTGCGACGACAGTGTGCAGTGTGTGGGAGTGATTGACCCGTGAACGCAATATCCGGAGGCACAGGTGCGCGACGGTACTCCAACTTTTCGCTTAGTAATAGCGCAAGGAAGAACGAGGACTCACGGCAAAATATTCATCCGACGACACACAGCGCCAACACCTAACAAAAAGCTTGTTCCCGGGCTGACTTTCGGTGGAACCCGGGTGCTACCATGTCCTACACCGTTATCCTGTTTACGCGAATGCGATTTGATCGGACTAGTGCGTAAGGATTCATCATTGAAGTTATAGCGCAACACTTTACGGAGGACCGTGGAACACACTCTGTGGACTGTGGATACACAACGGGCCCACATAGTCGACGTGTTGATAACTACGCCCCCCAAAAGACAACTGGGAGGTCTCTCTCCGAGGAGAGCAGCTTCAGGATCGTCATGCAGCATGCCGTCGCCAGAGTACGAACGTTGTTCAAGAGCCGACCCCTGTTCGCGAATGTCGTCTCCTTCGGCTCCATGTACATCGGCGCCGAGGTCGTCCAGCAGACCATCCTCCAGAAACTGGACCCGTCCGTGCGCGGCTACGACTGGCCGCTGGTGGGCCGGTACGCCGTGGTCGGCACGGGCATCTACGCGCCGGCGCTCTTCTACTGGTACCGCTACCTGGACCGCGTCATGCCGGGCAAGCTGGTCGCCATCGCCGTGAGGAAAGCCCTCATCGACCAGCTCTTGGCCTCCTCCACGCTTCTGGTAGCCTTCTACACGGGTGAGAAAGGCCGTATAGATGCGTTGCACTGTGATGTCATGTGAATGGGGATGTGAATTTTGTGACGTCATGTTAGTGTTGTCCAGAATACATCGCATGCTGGTTCTTCAGCGATTGATACATAGAGACCCAATAACGTTCCAGCAACGTCGTTATCATTATGATTTCGATTCTGAAGCAAATAAATCACAGCGAGCTCTTCTGACGCCAACTAATCCGCCACGTTGAAACCATCTTGTCCGTCCATGACGTCATGTGCAAGCTATCGATAGTGTAGTCCCCTGCATAATGTTTTTTTTTTCCTTGCGAACACGGGTGTTCCTTGAACGATAGAGAGATAAGATGGAGTTTTTCGATCGTTCACACCTTCGTGAGCACTTTTACCAGCACTTCAATGGTATGGCGCCTTTAAAAGTCCCTTTACAGTCCCCACAGCAGCTTACACTGTAAAAGCACTTAACGCCCTTTGGGGTGTACTTTTGCCACGTGCCGACGATCGTCATCCATGCTGCATGCCTTTTGTTCCTTGAAGCTCGCGTGTCCGTATACTTCCAGGCACATGTCTGTGTGCTCCATACGCGCGACCATTTTGTAGGGTCGTGGCATTCTTAACAGTAATGGTGCAGGGTACACCTCGAAGAGAGTAGACATTTAATTTATATGTTTAGTATGTCCTGCGTGCGCCAGTTTCTAAGATCCCGCATTCAGACGTCGGAACAGTACCGTGACTTTTTCGATAAACAACACCGCCAAAGAAATACTATTTCGGGACATTTATACCGCAATGCACGAGTTCGAGCTCATAGTATTAAAAGATTACCGTGACCAAGGTCACGAAAATTTTAATTTAAGCGAAGCCGGCGTTAATAGCTCCATAGTTCGCGACATCGTGTCTCGTTGCTTCCATCAGCAGCCCAGTTTAACTGACAAAAAAAAAAAAAGAGAACGTATACGAGACATGCGCAACAAGACACGGGCCTCTGAAAAAAAAAGTCATGAAGAAGTTTTGCTTACTAAACGACACTATGCGCTTCTCTTGCACTGAAAACGTTCTGTTAGGTTTGTCTTTTTACGGCGAATTGCCAACCGGTGCATCTGTAAAGAGGCTGTTCAGACGGGCTACAACTGTAGATGGGGTACTCATATGAGCAGTAGCGCTATCAGAAAGGGACTTGTGTAGAGACGTAAAAGTTATCAAATAGGTTTCAAAGTACTTCATATTCCACTCTGAGAAAGCGTCCCAAATCGGCTTTGACATCTGGCAACTCTGACTTCAGGCTGTCTACTCGCATCACGGAGGAAGGAACGTGACTTGCATGGACTGAACAGCGAAATCTCCTGTCGGGTTTGCTTTATTGAATATTCGAGCAGAACTAATTGCTGTTATTACTAATAAAACAGCTGTGCGCAGGCTGTTCGGACTTGCGTTATTTGACACGACGCGAGTTCTCACGGAATAAAACGTTAGGGCAGAGTGCTTCTATGCACGTAGTTTCGCATTCGCTGTCATGCGGTGTGCATAGCACGGAAAAGTGGCAACACGGACAAACGAAACGGTCATGTTCAAGGCAGGCACAATTTAGTCAAGAAAAGAGACAGCAAAAAAAAAAGTAACGGCAATAGTGAAAGTGCCAGGTAATTTTATAGCTTACGGGAGTTTATAACGTACACACTATTGAAACTGGGGTAAAGTTTTGCAATTAGATTTGTCCTTAGAAGATTTGTTCTAATGCATGGACATGTGTCGAGTGCGATTGGGGGGGGGGGATATTGAAGCATTAGAGCAGCCACGCATTTCAAGCGCCTTACACTCATGATCACAATGTGTATAGATGAAATGAGGGTGGTGATGGGTACAAGCATGGTACATCTGCAGTTCCACAGAATCGTGCTAGGCGAGGAAGTATTAGGAACGGCAAAAATGAGACACATCGATCCGTAGCATGAAGCTATTGACTGACCGCTGGCGATGAACGTGGTCAGCTTCGATGTGCCGCTGTAGTCGATAAGTTTGCCCTCGCGCTGCTGATTGCTAGCTTCCCGGGTAGCTCGTTCTGTGGTGCTACTAACCCAAAGACGCATTAGCCAACTTTGGAAGTGCTCGCATCAGCCAGGAGCTGTGGTTGGGCTAGCCGGCCCATCTGGATCTATACAAACAACGCGCCTTTGTTATTTCTTTCGCACATTGTGTAAAGAGGCATTACATAGCACAACATTGTAATGTTGATGTTAGCTTGACGTCTACATGTTCATACCAGTGTGCGCACACAGCACATCTAGAGGAACATTGGTGCAGAAAAAGTGTAGTACGTGAGCGCACACTTGGCCTCGAGATCTTTGAGCGCGCGAATCCTCGAAGTGACGTCATACAAGCGCGGCTCGCAGCGCCGCCATCGGTCGCACACCAGACCAATAGCGGTTAGCCAGAACGCTCGTCTGGCTCCGCCATCGCAGAGTGGAGCGTTGACTTATAGTGTCTTGTTAAGTTTAATATGCTTTGTACATTGTTTCCGACTAAATCTCATGAGGAGTCTTGTAAACTTTCCGTAACAGAAGCAGGAACATGACAGAGAACATGGCAGCAAGTTTCTGCAGACACGTCTGAAGAAACTAATGCCAGTTCTTTTTTACAAGAAGCGGCTAGACGTTTTGGTTCCGTTTTCTGTTGTCTTTTTCTGTTCCGCATGCGTTTTCGAGGTTACTTTACCTAGTCGTATTCAAGTTCATCATCTTCGGCAGCAAAATTCATTTCGCGTATGTCGTCAAGTAACTTGACAGCACGGCACCGCCGACGGCGTTATCGTGCCGCTTCGAGCGTCCGATTTTACACGTGACGCAGTGAAGTTCGCCGGCTCACAGCTCAACGCCGTGACTGCTGATACTCTCCACATTTTGTTCTATGTGCAGCCATGAGCGCCATGGAGGGCAAAGAGGACATCTTCGCAGAACTCAAGGCCAAGTTTGTGCCAACCTACAAGGTGTGTGCAAATAACCTGCGTTGTTTCCGCCGTAAATTAACTACCACGCAATATTTTGTTACTTACTGTCCTCCAATCTGTTGCTCGCTGTCTACCATTCCTCATTGCCTCTTGTTTATTCGCAACTTTATCACAATATACTAAAATATAATTTCTGTCTACCATGCAATGTTTACTAGTGGCGACTGAGCAATGTTGTATCAGCGTGTAAACGAACTCGTGCTACTTTGGTATCTCACATACTGTAAGAGTCTGTATACATGCCTTTACTGCTGTGATATATGATGTGATTGTCATAACTGAGTAATTAAAGCTAAAATTTATGCGGACGCATAGACTTGTTCTGACATGGAGTCACTTTGTTCTGACATGACATTGTTCTGACATGACATGGAGTCACTTTCTTTATCTCTCCTGTGCAGCTCAGTTGTTGCTTCTGGATTCCGGCGCAGTGCATCAACTTCTTCCTGGTGCCGCCTCACCTTCGGGTGGTCACGGTCGGCATCTGCTCTTTCGCCTGGGTCAACATCCTCTGTATCATGAAGCGCATGGTGAGGTGCCCACTAACTGTGTTGTGTATACGCCACGCCCATGGATGACAATTACGTCTTCAGGACGTGTCACCGTATGGCAGTATATAGTTGCCCCCGCCAGGAGAGCAATTGTTATTCGATGTTGGATTGAGGAAGACGAGTGTCGTAGCTCGAATTTAGGGTCCTGCTTGAGATACTTTTGGCCGCGCCCGTCTGAGGAAGGAAAAACTCTGGTTGGGCAAGTCTCCTGGACCCTGCCTCGAGGACAAACGAAATGAAGGTTTGGCTATCTCTCTCCATGAATATCATATTTGTACTAGAGCTGTGAACACGAGGTTGGAGGCGTTCAATTCAATTGTAATATTTTCCAATACGGCACTTCGAGTTTATGCATGGCTTAAGCGTCGAGATAAGCTCACGGCTGTTTGATTGTGCTGGTTGAATCACTTCTAGAATTCCATTTTGGAAACTGTATCCTTAACACAGGCCTGTAGCCAAAAAGGTTGCCCAAACCACTTCCCTCCCTCCACAAAATTTGCAAAGAGGAGGATGTTTTACCTAAAACACATAATAAAAATAGGTGTTTTCTAAAGTCTTCAGAGAGTGGGCTCCCGCGAAAAAAAAATTCTTGCTACGGGCTTGCCGAATCATATTTTATACATTACATGTTTATACTTAGCTGCAGCAGTTTTGGTCTCTCTTTTTTCTTTTTTTGACATACGCAGACCGTTAAGGCAAGCGAGGAGGACACCTAGAGCGACCACCGTCAAAGGGCTAAGGACCTCACTGCCACCGTCGTCAAGGTGACCCTAGTTTCCGGCTGTGACGTCACCACATGTCACGGAAGGAGAACCTCGCATCAAGAACGGCGTCACTTCTGGAAGGAGCAAACCACCGACAGTCTGCCATACAGTGCCTCGATCTAGTCGTCCGGATTGAATCAAAGGAAAGGCGTCTACGTGCGGCGTAGAACGTCTTTTTTTTCCCGACGGAACTATTTCGTCTACGGGGACCATATGTCGCCATAACGAAGAAAAGTGCCTGCTGATCTTTTTGACGTGCTTCGAGTGATGTGCATACGTTCTTATTGTATAGACCTTTTCGCAGACGGCTGCCTGGGCGCCGCCATATTCCTCACTGGGCTGCGCTAAATAGGCGTGACCCCCCCAAAGATGCTCTGCCGAGGCTGTGACGTCAACTTTTGTACTCCCCGTGCACAGTCCAGCATGGCGACGTTTTTTCTCCCTCCTTTGAAAAGGTCTACAGTCTACTTATTTGCGCGATACATTTCTTTCAAGGTGAAAGGAAATCTTTCAGGGGTGAAGTGCAGACGTGATTGGGCTACTGAACATAGTTCAACTATTAGGCTCGGTTACCACCTAGGCAAATACGACAGCTACGCCTACAGAATCGCAGCGAGGCTGCCCTTCATCCGTGAAACTCAGTCGCGCTGGCTAGGTTTCCACTCAAACCTGAACTACGTTTTCTTCGCTATGGTAAACACTGCACGTATTAAATGTTAAAGGTTCGTCTTGACTACTTCGAATGTTACGTTTGATTAAGCATCGATGTTGTAATATCTGACGAATTTAACCAAGACGCTCAAGTTACTGACCTAAAAAAAGCAACAAAAAATGTGCGACTGCGCGGTAAAGCTATGAATTTGAGACAGTGGGTGAGTCCTTGATGTCACGAGAATGAGTAAGCGCTATTGGACGGAGCACTTGCGCGAATTCTTTGTGGGAGGGACAACGACGGCAGTAGGCGGAGCAGACATTTTCTTTTTCTTAGGTTGTAACCGTCTATGGATTGTATCAACAGCGCATACTAGAAGATGAAACAGAACAGTACAAGCAGAGGCAAAGAGCACTGCTTGGCTCAGTTTGTGACGCTTCGTTTCCTGCTATTGCATCCGTTGTTAATACTTTCTAATGAATCGACACAAACTTGCCCAAGCTTCGGCTCTTACTACTTCAAGTGCTTTACACATCTCACTCACTATATCAGGTATAAAAAAATTGCATGTAAAGTACAACCTCATAAATACAACGATCGTAAGTGACGCTGATGGTCGTTGGGGGACGTTTAAAACGAACTTTTAATGTATGTCTTGGGCTGCATATACTTAGGCCACTAGTCCTACAGCGCTCACTCTTACTTACAGAAGATAACGTTCGATGGTATACATAATAAACGTAAGTGCCTGTTAAGATATCGCGTTGTCTAACTCACTTCAACGATGCATGTAGTGCCTCTGTGCAATGAGGCAGTCTTTGTCTATGAAAGACGTTCAAATATTCTAGACTGAATGACATTTTTAATGATATATATATACTAGTAGTCGCGAAAGTTCGTCCAGAGCTGTTCCGCTTGTTAAAACAAGTGAGACGTCACTGTGTTCCTTCCACCACACGGACCATTGCTGAAACTTTCAAGCGGCATGTTTAGTTTTTTTTCCCCAGAATTCGAACGTCTGTAGGTTAAGGTAGACGGTGATGAATAGTGCATTTTCTTACGCGTTCCTGAAATGTTCGCCCATCACACATGCGATGCGTTCTTTCAGAAGCAACGACTGCACACGGAATGCGCCCGTAATCATCTTTTTAAGGTCCTATCGGTCGCCACATTTTAAAGAAATTATTCAGTGCCAGTAAATCGAGCTAACAATTTGCATAGCAGTCCACTCATGATGTACAGTCCACTACAAAAGCTTAAAAAACGTCACCGCATGTAGCCACGCACGTCGCGTCGTGTTGAAGGCATAGTTAATGTCGTTCTGAAATCCCTAACCTAAGGGTTAATCGTCGAGTTCATGTCAAGTGCCTGAAGTAGCAACGGGCACGTGTTGTAATAGATCTTTTTTGAAGCTCAATATGGGACCTGCCACAACTACGTTAGCAGTTCACTGAGGACCCCCGTGGCAAGTAAATATACAGCTGGTATATAGGAACGATCGCCGTAATAAAAAAAAACAAGCCAGTATTTGAGTGTGAGACAAAGCAAGCGCGGACAGCTGATATTGTATAGTTTGGAAACAGGAGACAGAGTTTTGGCAAGTCATCCTAAATGGCGGAACGTTTTGGTGGAACATAGCAGTAACAGAGCGGGCCGCCAGAAGTCGTGTTGGCGAGAGTGGCCCGAAATTAGATGGTGCGACTAGATGTAAGGATTCGATGGTGCACCCACACAGACGACGTCAAACAGCATCACGATCGTCAATAAAGATGATGATGGCGATGTGCATTTGAGAACCCTCGTTACGCCAGCTAGTCGTATGTGTGTGCTTTGTTGCGCAATGCGTCCCAGTACGCTTCAAGTGCCTTTCAGTTGCCTCTGTAGTTGCTCAAGCTCGTGCCTTTCTACGTGTATTGTTCTGCGCTATAATTGCCTTTGTCTTGCATCTTTACTTCGCTGCCAAGATGTGCCTTTTGCCTGTGTTGCATGACTATGTGCAAGAGTTGCTCTCACGTGTACTGTACTCTAGCGCAGCACATGCGACAACAAAATTGTCACTCAATGTGGTCAGCCTGAAGTTAACTGCGTTCAAGTGAAGGTTTCCTGTCGCAAGCTACATTTCTTTTACGTAGCTTTCGGCGGAACGAGCTCGCACAGCTTTTGACAAATTAAGGGTCAAAGTACACAAACTGCGAATCTCGGGCACGCTTAGAGTTTAGAGTTACCACTTATGGGATCTATTTAGCCGAACGAACAATAAGCGAAATTGTGTGATATTGATGTAGCGGCACGCAAAAAAAAACAAAAAAAAAACATGTTCACGCAAACGGCAAAGAGACACGCGCTCAACAACTAGCCCATAATTATACATAAAGGTTATGTAGTTATGAAATCATGTCTTCAAGAACTGATATTTGCATTGAAGCGAAAGATACACCATGAGCGATATGGCTAGTTTTTTCAGCTTTGGTCTTCATGAGCGTTGAGAATCGTGAGTTGACATGTGAGCCAAAATTTGAATTCTTTGAATGGGAAAAATAAAAATTTGAAGCACACAAGACGAGGCTTTGGAACAGTGTACCCTCTCGGCCCTAAGAAGTACGATCTCGGCCCTCGGCCCTCACAATCCTGGAACAGAAATACCTGTACACTCTAAGTATTTATTGTTTGCAATTGAAAACAGAGTGCTTGTTACATTTGCTATTTTTTTATTCGGCTACTTCTTTCGTGGTCATTGCCATTACTGTTTTTAGTTCTGCCGTATTTGTGGAAAAAAAATGTTTAGACTGCCTTATAATGTGCGTGCCGTTTGCACTGTTGAATGATTTTGTTACAAATAATGCTGTACAAAAAAGAATAAGCTCAATGTTCCTGTCTGTTCACTTCTCGCAACAGTTTTTCTAATAAACCTATCGCAGCATGTTGCCATAAGAGTCGTCATTTCATAAGTACAAAGCGATTATGTATAGCCCATAATTACAAGTATAAAAGTGATTATGTATAGCGCATAATTACACGAACACATCAAAATTCAATACCTGCACCTACGTTTTTCCGGCCTTCATTTAATACCCGCAGTAAATTTCTAGTGGTTATGAAGCTCGAATGCCGAATCAAAGACTGTGCTATCGAAAGCCGTCAGGTGGGGGGGAGGCTCATGTCGACGGCTTGCGTGTGGCAGGTGTCCCGCCACGTGTCGTGCGGCTGTGCGGAGAGTGCGTATAAGGGCCATTTCACGCGCTTCCCGCACAGCCGCAACGCACGTGCCGGGACCCCTACCGCACGCAAGCGGGGGACAAGTAAGCCAATTGGTGACGCTCTTCCACCGTCCACAGCGTCGGCAATTGGCTTATTTATTCCCCGATTGCGTGTGGTAGGGGTCCCGGCACGTGCGTTGCGGCTGTGCGGGAAGCGCGTGGAATGCGTCTAAAGGCCTGAACGTTTTAAAGGGACCTGGAACATTCTTTGAGCATGCTCAGAAAATGCTGCCGCTCTGTAGTAGAGGCTCCCGAAACACGCGAGCCAAATATTATAGCGCAGCACGTGGCCTGTAACTCACAATAAATTATCAAACCAAGCTACGAATTGCTTTCTCTTCTCTCGACAAATTACGGAATGTGCCCAGAATCACACGTCAACGACCCATCTATCAGCCATTAGCCGATTCGAACATGGCGCGCTCGCTCGTTACAGAGATTGCCGCGGAAAGCCACTACTTGTCCACGCGTGCGCGCACGATCACACTGAAAAAGCCGCGCATTCTAAGAAAAAATAGTGCTCAAGGTCACGAGGCGCACATGATGTTTTTTTTTTTTTTGTGGCCCTGCCATTCCTCCCTGCTTGGCTTCCAACGCTTTCGTCGGAACAAGGGAAAAGAGAATACAATTGCAGCATGCGAGAAACCTTTGCAACTTCACTCGCACTGCACAGATTCTTAGAATTTTTGCGGCGTAGAATGCGTGAGGCAATAAGCTCTTCCAACAAATTCATGCCATGGTTACTTGAAAAAAGTGTTTCAGGGGCCCTGCAACGAGAGCCTAGCCGTCACTTCGTCGTTCAGTGTCGCTAGATTGCACTGCAATCTCCAGTATCGTCATGGATGGCACGTCAGCTGGGCTTCAGCGCACGTTGCAAGCTAGACTCTTTCATCCAGTAAATACAGGTAGACGGCAGCTGGCGAAATCTCGAGCAGAGACCTGCAGAAACAACGGTGCTAAGGGAGACCAGATCAGCACGGTACTGAGAAACTTACCCAGCGCGTGCCAAGATGGAAGTACTGCAGCCGCCGCCTTTTGAAAACGAAGCGACACATACCTTTCGCAACACTTCGCTACAGTGTGCACTACAGATGGTGCCGACAGGCGCGCTGAGGTAGGGCACTCGACGCTTGCGAAGGGACTCGACCGAATGTTGAAATGCGCCCACGCACTCGGAAAAAAAATAATCGTCTCGCGCATTTCCTGTGCAGGAGCAGGGTAGCGCAACGTCGCCTTGCAAACCTGATTGAATCTAGTCGGGCGAGAAATGCGTGCGCGTGTGAGTCCTTCTGCTTGTGGTGCCGATAGACACGAGCGAATTGCTATTCGCGGGGTAACACCACCGAGGAAAGAAAACAACAAAAAAACCCATCACCATTACACAGAAAAATCATCAAAATATTATCAATAGGGGGCATGCGCCTAAGCAGAAAAGATTAGAAAAAAAAACACACAGGCGTATGAAATAACCAGAAGATTAGTGCAGTGATCTTACCAAATATAAGTGCTCCTTATCTGAAATGGCAGTAGAAGGGTGGCAAACACATCTTTCCCCGCATCTCTTACTGTGGAATGATTCGATTAGTCCGCCGATACTTTTATCTTTATGCCTTCATAGGACGGTCGCGTCAACAAAAAAGGGTGAGCAGCCGCACATGATGCAATGTTGCGCCAAGTGCGCACCATCCTTTGCGGCCACTGCTTTGTAATGCTCCTGTAAAACGAATATTTAAACACCGGCCAGTTTGGCCCACATATGCGCGGCCCTGGACGTGACAGTGGAATTAGCTACACAGCCCCTGTTACACACTGAGCGAAAGGCGAGCCATGTTCGATCAGACATTTCTTGTTATCTACACACTTCGCTTTGCCTGCTATCTTTCTGCCTATTTTTCCCCATGCTTTAATAAGTTTATTCGAAGCCGAGAAAACTATTTTCACATTGACGCTATTAGCCACGTTCTTTAATCCGTGTGACATTTTATGAACGTAAGGGACGACTACGGGTTCCGATTGGATTGGATAAACTTTTATTTGGTCCTCCAAAACACAGATCACTGTGTTGCGGGCAGCTCCCACGTGGGGACTGAGATGCCAAGCTCCTCAGCCGCCTCGCGGGCTTGGTGGACAGCCCAGAGCTGATCTGCCAAGGACGAGCTGCGGATTGCCGCCTCCCATCTGGCAGAGTTGATGTGCGATAAATGAGCGAATTTGGTGCACTGCCAGAGCATGTGTTCTAATTAAGCTATTTCCCCACAATGTGGACAAAGATTACTTGGGTATAGGTCAGGGTACATGATGTGTAACATTTTCAAAGTAGGGTACATCCGCGTTTGCAAAAGCCTTAATGTAAGTGCTTGGGGCCGGGTTAGATTTTTGTGAGGTGGAGGGAAAATCCTTCTAGACAGGTAGAAATGTTTAGTGAGCTCGTTATATGTTGTAAGAGTTTCCCGGTTATCCCCTTCACCGGTAGAACGCATCCCCGGGGAGGCGCGGTTGGAGAGTTCTCGCGCCGCCTCGTGTGCTGCTTCATTGAGATTGGGAGGGGAATCGTTGATTTGCCCAAGGTGAGCTGGGAACCAACTCAGAAGATGATGCGTTATGTTCTTGCCTTGCAGTATTCTCAGCGTTTGTTCAGAGACCGTCCGCTTGGCGAACGCCTGTAGTGCTGCCATGGAATCACTGTAGACGACTTCAATGTTATCCATCTTGAGTGCTAAGGCGATGGCCACCTGTTCCACAACTATTGGGTCTTTCGTCTTGACCGTCGCTGAGTTGACGACATGGCCAGCCCCATCGACCACCACTGCCACAAACGCTTTCCCATTGGCGTAGGAAGCCGCGTCATCAAATACGACCCCTCGTTCCTCGTTTGAGACTTGACGAAATATAGTCCTGGCCCTCGCTAATCTTCTTCCGACGTTGTGTTCTGGATGCATGTTTCTCGGTATAGGAGATACCGTGATAGTCTCCCTGATGTTGTCAGGGATATCATTGTAATTGCGCCTGATTGCTATTGGGTGTTGGCCCAGCTCCTGCAGGATCATTCTCCCCGACCTTGTAGTAGAAAACCTTGCAAACTGTGCTCTCTCTTGGGCTTCTGCTATTTCTTCGAGCGTGTTGTGTATGCCAAGCTCAAGCAGACGCTCGGTGCTGGTATGTATGGGTAGGCCCAGGACCTTCTTGATAACTTTCCTGAGGAGCACATTCAGTGTCTCGGACTCTGCTCTTGACCAGTTGTGCATCGCTGCCTCGTATGTGAAGTGACTTAGAACAAACGCATGCATCAACCTGATGAGGTTGTCTTCCTTGATCCCATTTTTTTTGTTGGCCACTCTGCGTATGAGGTGCACCGCACTGTCTGTTTTTCGAGTTAACTTGGCTATAGATTTGCTGTTGGCGCCGGTAGACTCTATCAGCATTCCCAGGACTTTGATGGAGTCGACCCTCTGGATGGTATCCCCTTGATTTGTACGGAGGTGGATGTCTATCTGGTTTAACGGCTTCCATCCCCTGGGCTTCGGTCCCCGGCGTGCAGTCCGATAAAGCAAAAGTTCTGACTTACTCGAGGAGCACTTGAGCCCGGAAGGGCGAAGGTAGTCTTCTACGGTGTCAATCGCCTCTTGCAGAGCGCTCTCAATCTGCCCCTCGCTTCCACCTGTGCACCAGATGGTAATGTCATCTGCGTAGATGCTGTGCTTTAATCCTTCAATGCTCGATAATTTCTTTGACAGTCCAATCATGGCAATGTTGAACAGCATTGGTGAAATCACTGCCCCTTGTGGCGTGCCCCTTGCTTCTAGTTCGATTGCTGCGGTCTCGATATCTGCAATCTTCATCACGGCTTTCCGATCTGTAAGAAAGGACCATACGCAGTCATAGAAGGCTTTTCCTAGACCAAGTTTGGAAATTGCTTCGAGTATGAATGAGTGGTGGATGTTGTCAAACGCTTTTTCTATATCTAGGAACAGATTGGCTCTCACGTCTCTAGTCCATTGTCAATGACCTGGTGCTTGATAAGCTTCAATGCATCTCGTGTGGATAGCCCTGCCCTGAATCCAACCATATTGTGTGTATATATGTCGTTATCTTCCAAGTACTTGTTTATCCTGTGCAGTATGGCATGTTCTGCGACCTTGCCGATACATGATGTCAAGGATATTGGCCTCATCTTGTCCAAGTTAGGGGGCTTTCCTGGCTTAGGAATAAGGATCGTGCTGGCCAGCTTCCACTGCTCTGGCACCCTGCCTTCTTTCCATGCTGAATTGATCATATCCCTCAGGGTTTCAATTGAATCGTCATCAAGGTTACGCAGGGCCTTGTTCGATATACCGTCCGGGCCAGGGGCCGACCTGCCGTTGAGATCATGCAAGGCTCTTCTGATCTCCTCGATGTTAAAGTCGCCCTCAAGACCTGGATTTGGCGTGCCCTGGTACTGTCTACTTGGTGGTGCCAATCCTCTTTTGATTGGGAGGTACTTATGCACGAGCTGCTGGACAACTTGCTGTTCTGTAGTGCGCCCTATCTCTTTATGCAAAATTCGAGTGATAACATGCTTTTGATTTGTTTTGGTGGTGTTTTCGTTGAGGAGATGCTTTAACATATTCCATGTCTTGCCATTGCGCATCTGACCATCGACGGAGTTGCGGATTTCGTCCCATTGCTGCCTCGATA